AGTGGTACTACTAAGTTCCCGAAGAATTTTCCAGGCACGTGGTATGCTTTAGGAACAAGACAGTATTGGTGAGGCCTGGTCAAGTTATTAGACTCATCCGATAACAGCTGAGAACAGCCATAGCTGTAAGTTGTCTGTTCAAGCAAAAGCTTGATCAAATAGCCCCAAACGTAATAAAAAAGTGGACGAGTCATCAATTATGTTAGACCTGATGTCTGATGCCAGCTCAGAAATATCCTCTAGTGGCGGGAAGTTATCAATTGGAAGACATTCCACAATGTCTGAAGTTAAACTTTCATGGTGCGAAGATATTTGCAACTCCTTTAGGAGGTCAGCCTTGTCATCCTCTACGTTTTCATTGTCCGACAGTTTGAACAGTTTTTTTATCGAGAGGTGTTTTAGTCCTGAGGTGAACTGATGCACATTTGGGTTTGTGTTGCAGCCCAGCATTTGTCGTATATAGGTCCAAAAACGTTCTCAATGTGTCTTGCAGTAAGTCATGGCTGCTTGAAAGCAGTAGTGTAAGTCATGGCTGCTTGAAAGCTCATCCCAGAGCACGAGGACACTTTTTATAGTAACTTGCCACCCAATGATGGCTTATGGCTGCCTCCTACTTTGGAACTGCCATGCTGAAATCCATCCGAGTTACTGGTGGAGAAAATCAAGTATTTCAGACTCTCCCTTCAAAATGGCATGATGCAACTTCTGTCCTGTCTTCTTGAATTTTTTAGCTATTTAGAGAAGCAAAAAGTATGCACATCCTATCACAGAAATAGGCTGTAGCCATGGCTGCCTCAGGAAGCTCCTTGGCATAAACAAGGGATATGATTGCAAGAAAGAGTGAGGCACTCAGTACCTGTGGGGCACAATTTTCTTCCATGTTACAGAAAGGTTCTTGAAAAAATGTGTCTCTCAGTAAGTTTCGGAGCCAATTGCAAGCTCATCTCATGAATAGAACAATAAAGTTCAACAATAGAAGACCACTCAATGACCTCATTTCCAATGCAAAGTTTGTGGGCTTGGAGATTGCTCTTGGTTTTTTCTGGGAAGGTGCGGAACATCAAAGACAAAGTAAACGTGTTCGTTGTCAACTTCAAAAAATGGCTTATCAACACACTCACCAAGCTTACGTTTGAAGCCCCCTAACCACAGACCACAGCCTTACTGTGAAGCCAACAGTCTTAAGCTCCCGAATGAGAGAAATGAGGAGACTGCGTTAAACAGAAGACGTTGTTGGAGTGTGCACAACAGTGTATGCAAGGGGCTAAACGCACCTCCTGGAAATTTCAGACAGCATAACAACCAAGGCTCTATCTGCAATGTTAGAGGTTCGTTCAACACCGTCATCTGTAAACCCATGGACAATGTCGTGTGCAGGGTCGTTAGTTAATTTCTTTTTTTTTAAACAATCTCATCGAAAATCAACATGCACACACGTTCAAATGCAGCCAGACAGCCCGGCAGAAACAAGAGCGTGAGAAGCTCGAACCGATCGGCTCCACGTAGTGCCACTAAATAAGCTACGCTTCAGAGTAACGACACTTGGCCATTTTGTGTCGTAAAATCATGGTTGCCAGGTATCTGGAGCTTTATCTGAATTCACAGGAAACGCCTTTCCGCCCTCCACAAATGTTTGAATAGTTCGTGACAGAGCAAAGCAATATTGCGTGACCTTTCCACAGCCGAATCTAATGCTGAGGAAGTCGCACTTTTGAATCATGACGATCGGCAGTTGCGTCTACTCTGCATATGAGCCAAAATGGCAGCGCCCACAACAATGCCGGGGAACGGAGTGCCGATACTCTAAGCGCAGCTCATTTAGTGGCTCTAGCTCCACGAATTCACGCCGAGCATGCGAGTACGCGGGCGGTCATGCGTCACCTTGATTGATGCAAAGTCGACCGAACATGATGCAGCAGAAAGCACAGATGGACGGCACGCACGGTACAGACGAATGACGCAGGGACGAGCAGAGGCCATGCAGAATGATGCAGAGGCGACGGCGTGCAGGCAGGCAGGGCATGGCAGGCGCCATTCGTCACGTGGTTTTTGTGACGTATTTGATTTAAACTATTTAGTCGTTTTAAGTACTTTAAATAATTTTAAAGCATTGCCATTTAAAAAATAAACACTTTACACAGAAAGAGTTTTCATTAATTTTAACCAAATTGCAGACAAGCGTCACGTAGCGGAGGGTATTAAACGCACTATCTGGGCCGCGAATCGGCTCCTGTGTCCTTGCGCCCTGTTTGTTGGGCCCGTGACGTCACCCGCCCAACGCGCGGCGCCCCCTTGCACGCACTCGCAGACCCTCTCGGCGTGTCGCACTTCGGCCTCCACGTTTACCTTCCACGTTTCGAGCACACGGTTTCAAGACGGTGACGTCTTCGACACTGATCGCAGCAGCGATGCGAGTGATGCTATCAAAAGATGCTAGGAGCTCGCGACCAGCTCCAGCGACGATCGCGCACGTGCACGCATGGGTGGAAGATCAAAGGGCAAGGAGACGATAGCAGCCTGGGGCCCCAAACTCGTCAAACACAAAGTTGGAGCCGAAAGTTCGCGAAGCGCGCCGATTGGACGTTGGCGACAAAAGCGCCAAGTCATCGTCGCGATTGTCCAATCGGTGCGCGCTGCGTTAACTTCGGCTCCAACTTTGTGTTTGACGAGTTAAGGGCCCCTGGAGTATGCACCATTCAAATATGTACACGTCCTCAGCCCAGCACGCGCGTGTTCGTAGCTTCGGAAAGCGAGCAAATCCCGCGCCATACGCACAAACACTGAAAATGTAACCAGAAAGAGCTCCTGGCCAGTTCCATTTTCAGTGTTCGTGCGTATGGCGCATGATTTGCTCGCTTTCCGAAGCGACAAACATGCGCGTGTTTGGCTGAGGTCCTCAGCACGCTCGGCTGAGGTTAGTGCCCCCTCATTTGGGGCACTAACTTAAGCAGGAGAACTTGGCCCATGAATACTCCTTAGAGATACAATGCAAAGAAAGCGACGACGTCGTGTTCGCGCTAACAGTGTCGCACGAGTGCACGGCAGGAAACAACACCCGTAATCATCGAGACTGCGTTCCAAAAACAAACAAAAAGAGTCACGTGTTTCGCGCTCGTCGAGTTTAAAATCCTAAGTTACGGATTACTCAACTCTAGTGAAACGATGGCGCGATTATGCCCACTCAAAGGGTACAAGTTACTGTTTCAGAACACGCCAAGTTAAAAAAAAAAAAAGAAAAAGAAGAAAAACTAAGAGGGACATAGCAGGCGAAACCAAACAACAAAAGCAATACTCAACGAAGTAAGAAAAAAAAAAAAAAAGGCCCAATCCAAAATAACTCATATTGAATTATTATTTTTTTTTTTTTCGCGCATTTTTAGGGAGGCTAGCGCTTAGTTCTGGTAATGCGCGAACGCACTTTGCATGCAGCCAAGTCGCGTCCGTGCTAAAGTAAACAGCCCGGCCGGGTTCGGGGGGATAGCGACAGCGACAAGCAGGGCTTGTTGCCAGAGGAGCGCCACGCGCCATCGCTCGCGAAGGGGCATTTAGCGAGGGCAATGAGGGATCAACACACACCAGCAGCGCGTGCATCCAAATGGCTGACTGCGCTTAGGGGACAGAGTCACACTTAGCGAGTCACTCCACCGCGCCCAATGGTGCGCACGGGGCAAGACACCACTTGACTCGGACGGTTAAAAGGTTCCCGAAAGCAGCTAAACTCCTGTCCAAATTTCGTTTCGCTCTTTTCTTTCTCTTTTTTTTTAATATATATGTAATAATCCCGGATCGTCCCACTATTTCTTCTCGGTATTACCGCAAGATTAAACACGCCTCTGACTATGTTAAAAAAAATGTTAAGTGATTTTTTTATTGTACGATTTTGCATGAAACGAGCAGCAATGAATAACGCGCGGATGCCGGAACTTACGCACGCGCGCAGACACAGACGCGCGCAGACACAGACGCACGCGAATACAAAGACACAGACGCCTGCGCACGCAGGCACGTGCATATATAGTTCCTAATCCTCGAGCGACCAAGAGAAAAGTGCATAAAAATAGAAATCCTACCACGCCTTTTAGAGCGCAGCTCTTAGGCGCCCGATTCCGGCATGAGCGGCGTCGCCGTCGCCGTTGCCTTCGGCGTCGGCGTAACCGCGCGGTGCATTATGGAAAATGTCCCAAACGCAGCGCGCGGGGAGGAGGGGAATTTGAAGGAGGAGGTGACGGAGGAGGTGAAGGAGGAGGAAGAGGAGGGGAGGAGGAGTAGCAGGGAGAATGAAAAGGTGAGGAGGAGGGAGGAGGGGTATACCCTCCCCTCCTCCTCCTCAAGAGCTGCACTCTAATTCGGGGTTACAGGGTGGTGTAAACGTCTTTCATTTTTTTCCTCCCAAAAATACGAAGTATTACCGCACGTACATCGCAAATGTGATTTCGCAAAAAAGTTATATATATATATATATATTCCTGACGAAGGCCGGACTCCGGCCGAAACGTCGAAGATTAAATCGTCCGTCGTTGCTGTTTTCACTAAGGGTTCTTTTCTTCTATATATATATATATATAATATATGACTGAGAAGAAAAAACCCTACGTACGCCTTGCTCGCTAAAAAAAATGTCATGAACTTATTTTTTAATGTCAATTTTTGTTGGATATTCCGTTGGCTTCTCCCGCATGCGCTCCTACAAATGACCTGCCCGAACGCATACAGGATCTAGGGAAGAAAGTCTAATATATATTCTTACACGAAGTTTATTACGTCCTCAGAAAGGATGTATATAAAGCGCGGGGTCGTTGTTCCGAGTTTTCTTTAGCCCCGGAACGCAGCACTAAAAGACAACGAAAAACAAGTAAACCCGCAACCTCCAATAAATTACTTGGCAAAGACCGGGTGGGAAGGTGCACCGTGCATGCAAACGATACGTGAATCCGAAAGGTCGAGACACAGCCACCCACAGACCAAGGCACCGCGTACGACGCAAAACGAGCAACTCTCACCTTGTCCTTTCGCATGAGAAACAGAACTTCCTCGATGCCGACGTACTTGGAACCACGCGTCGCAGCTAACTCGGCAGCCTGCAGGTACTGAAAGGAGAAAGAACTCGCCTTCGTCATATATACCTTCGAGGTTGCATAGCTAAACCAGATATGCGGCGCTGTGCAACAAAAATTACCATCTAACAGTGACGTATCTAAACCTGTAAAAACACTGTACACGCAGTTCAATATGTAGCGTGAGTTAGAACAGTGCTGCGTACGTGGTAGCGCTTTAATTACTTCACTGGATGCCCCCCACGACAAGCATACTCGTCAGACCTTCAGCCGCGCATAAAGAAATAAAAAAAAAAATCGAAGAAAAAAATATTACGACTCATTTATGCACATGGGACTTGGAAAGGACGAGCTGAGAGCGGTTACCAAACACCAAAGAAACGTAAGGCGTGGCTAACTGCATTGGAAACCATTCAAACCAGATCCGCTCGTTTTATTTTTACTAGTTATATCATTACACAGCTATCGTCACTTTTATGAAATCAGCTTTATCGCTGTCCTTTTCATTCCCGAACCGGAAAAGTTTTGACGCCTTTCTTTATATCACGAAACTTATTTTCACAATTCCGTACAAAGTCGTCTTGACCATCAGCAAAAAGATGTAATTCTAGGTACAATCCTGACTACCTCCCATTCATCATTCCGTTCTCGCACATCCCAGGACTGGAAGTCATCTCCCGGGTCAATTGCGTCCATCGCAGACACTGAGATGTTTCCTAAACCTACATAAACCAATTATTTCGCTGTCGAATGTGTCTAAAATAATTTCGTTTTTTTAGCGCTCCCATTCTGTAGTTGCTGTTGTTGTTCTCGCCCTTCGAAATGCCCCGGGCCTTGATAAAACAACACCTACATAAATAAACTCAATTCCACGCGACACCATGCACTGATTGTCCAGAAATAATATTATTTTGGAAACCGGGGTCATGCCATGCGTTTTCTTTTGTTTTCAGTGCTTTCTTTTAGGATATCAATTTGAGTGTAAATACGTCTACAGATGAAGGCCAGTCTGCCTTGAAATGGCGTCTGATGACTTCGCTAGATGGACGAGCTTGTCTAGAACAGTATGAAGTTCACCACGCAGTAGGGATTATACGAACGCGACCGGTTCATACGAAAGCGTGCCAAGTGCGAATAGGGAATTCATGGAGCCCCAGACTAGAGGAAGGACTAGAGGAATCCGCGGCACACACGTCATAGTTTCGTACATAAGCACTTTTCAACTCTGAAAGGCTTTTCAACATGCGTGCGAGAGGCGATCGTAAAGTTCGTTTTCGTAGATGGTTTTCGTCGTCCCGCAACGCTTTCCGCCAACCCGCAACGATACCCGGAACTCTTCAGCCAAGGCCATCGGCGCGCAGGCGCAGTAGCGGCTTCTTCGTTGTGGAGGGCTTAGCAGAGAAGGGAACGCGGTCTACGAAAACGCCCTATTGCCACGAAGAGCTGCGATCGACAGCGTCGGCGGTGGAGGTCGCATGTGACCCACACGAGGTAACACGCTTCTCCCACCTGGCGGATACCCTGGTCGTAAAGTTCCCGTTTCGGCTTTTGAGAAAGTGTTTCACCTCGGCTGTGTTCCAAGATTTTCTCGATCCGACTCCGGAGTAAAGGTTTCGTACCGTAGCGTTTGAAAACTCCCTCGCGCTTACTCGATGACGTCAGAACTCGCATTCCAGAGGCGGATTGTTTACTCCAAAGTAATTACTCACGCTACCCTCCTTCGATAAGTAGGCAACGTCTAATAAGGTCGAGTAAATGTCGCCACGTGGCCCATTCGTTGTCTGCTTTTTCGGCTCGGAATGATCATAGGCCGTCAGCTTTGTTTCGTTTAACGTTTTGCGTAAGTTTTGAGCAGTAACAGAGAACCGACGTTTTGTATGGGCGCTGTGATTGGTTCTTCTCAACTCCGGGATTAGAATTTTAGACGCATTCAAAACGTGCACTTGTCGACAAAAAGTAGATTGCGTGAGTGTCTTAAACATTTGAGTTATCTAAACGATACTCACATGAATATTTGAGGCGTCGGTACTTGTGTAATAGGCATCGACTCTCTGAGAATACTTAAACGCGGGAACTCATAAAGGGCAACCCCGTTTCATTTTTGGCTTTGAAAAAACAATGCAGTCCTCTTCAGTATCGCCTAGGAAGATCACACGTCAAATATTACGACGCAGCTCTGTCTAAATGTTTCTTAAACGGTCCGGCAAACTTTGCAACTCGCCAAGTTGCCGAAATCGGCTGAGTCGAGCGGGCGAATTCAGGCGCAACCAACAGCGCAGTCAAGGCTACGGCATGGGCGGAGCCAACATTGAGCTAAACGTCATCATCATGACCCCCTTTTGCTTGTTTTTCCTCCCCGATCGAGCGTAGCGCATGACGTCAGCAACGTTTCCTCTCGGCGCTCAGTGGTGTCCACGTGATTGGCGTACGCGCCTGCGCAGCGCGCTTCTTGGGAGCAGACCAACCGCCCGCCCTGGTCCCGCCGTCTTCCGCGTCACAACCACCGTCGTCGTCTCACCGTTTGTGATTATTGCCTCTCGGAGTTTCGTCCGCACTATTGACACAACGTGCGCAGAGTCGCAGACTTATGCCGCAGTTGTGCAGGGTGTAGCCCGAAACAACCCATTCCCGTTTGAACCCGTCCCGTTTTTACCCATTCCCGAAACGACCTTCCCGTTTGAACCCGTCCCGTTTCGACCCATTCCCGAAACAACCTTCCCGTTTGAACCTGTCCCGTTTCAACCCGTTCCCGAAACGCCCTTCATATTTGAACCCATAGCCAAGACATATTTTACGTTTGAATTCGTCCCGTTTGAACCCGTTAATTGGTATAAAACCGCGCGCATCTCAACCTCTTCGCAAAAAGTGTCCATCGTTCTGATCCTGGTGGGCGCAGTTTTTCTGCTTAAGAATATGTCCCGAAATCATGTTAATGCAATTAATACAAAGGTGCAGGCGAGCAATTAAGTTATGTTGTGAAATATTTTTGCTTGTAAACGTAATATTAAAATATGCAATACTTTCAGACAAGCTTCAAGGAAATATATTTCTACTTGAACCACTTAAAATGTTTCTTTCAAGATGGTCCCCAAAATGTGTAATTACGAAATGGACTATGTACACTGCGCGACTACGTTACCACGAGCACCATCTTGGCGATTTTTCGAATTTTACTTCGAAATGGTATTACAAGGTATCACATTTTACCGCTTAGGTTAGTAGCCCAGATAAGCACTTTCAAACACACTAGTAATATTGATGGCAGTCTTCTGATTTTTTTTTTTTTTTTTGTAGTCAAACAGCTAAAACCAACAATCACTTGTTCGCTCTAACGGTTTCGCGCTCTGTACAAAACAGGGAGCTTTCGTAGACCATTTTCGAAGTCACGCGACGCTCCTTCGCAACCCGCTACGATACCCAGAACTCTAAAGTCAAGGCCATCGGCGCGCAGGCGCAGTAGCGGCTTCTTCGTTGCGGAGGGCTTAGCGAAAAAGAAACGCGGTCTACGAAAGCACCTAATGAAGTCTTAGAGTAACGCAGGCAAGCACTTTGAGTAAGCAAAAATTAGCGTTGCCCAAGCTTTTTATATCGCGACGCTACTTTTAGGTTACCCAAAGCGCTTACGTACGTTATTCTAAAACTTCTTTATAGTGAACGGGATACTTTTTAAAAGTGATAACTCAGACAGGCTGACGGGCTTATGATTGCGACTTCATTTTTTTACAAGTTCAAACACAGAACCGTCGCGTACACAGCCAAAAATCATAAACCACAAAATGCTGTCGCCTTGGTTGAGGAAGTCGAGAAGGAAAATCGCGCCATCAGAAAGGCGACACTTCAATTGTGATAGTTCGCGGCGGTCACCTGGCCCGCACGGCACCACCATTTGCAAGCTGCTGCAGCTATGTCCTTCTCAAGGGTCATCCCGTTTGCAGGTCGATGAAGTTGAAAATGGTCGGGTGAGCCCTCCCTGACATAGCGTTTATCTTACGGTGCCATGTCTCCGAGGTTGTTTCGGGAGAGGGAGAAGTGATGTGAGCAAGGAGAACAGACACTGGACACTTGAACCTAATCAACTGTTAACGAACAATACAAACTAACCGAACGATGGCCGAAGCGGGAAGGTTGCTTTGGGAAAGGGCAAAATGGGAAAGGTTGAAACGGGAAGGTCGTTTTGAGACGGGTCGAAACGGGAAAGGATGAAACGGGAAGGTCGTTTCGAGACGGGTCAAAACGGGAAGGTACAAACGGGAAGGTTGTTCTGGGAATGGGTCGAAACGGGAACCACCCGTTGTGCAGACGTCGTCGAATGCCGTAGTCACCAAAACGTGGCGAAGAGTGCGGTGCAGACGACACTCGCGCCTGCCGGCCGCCCGCCCCCATCCCGCCCGTCGTTGGGCCGAGGATCACGTGACATCTCGTACCACGTGATGGCCATGTACTTGGCGGCCCGAGGCCAATGTTGCAGGACGGAGCCGAAGTTTCGGTTTCGATTTCCGCTCGTGTTTAAAATTAGATTTAAAAATATATATCCCATTTTTCGCGAAGCAAACGACGTAGTGTCTTTTACTAGGGCTTTTTAATTCGAAATCACTCATTATCCCGAAATATTCGGAATTGAGCGGAGTTGCCCTTTAACGTAAATTTGTTAAAGGGATACTGAACCAAACATTTCAGTGTCCATATTAAACAACGAAACAACGAAATTTCGCCGCTCATTTTTTGGCCTATACGTGTTCAAAAAAGCAGCATCACATCGAACATACCAATATCTTGTTAAAAAAAAAAGTCACGAAAATGAATTTTAAAACGAATTAAACGATTAGCAAAGAGCACCTGGTGGATGTCGCTAGCGCCTCGCTTGTAATGCCCGTCTAGGAACCTTGACAGCTAGTGACGGAGGTTGTCTCGTCTCCGGCCACGACGAGAGAAGAGGGGCAGGAGGAACTACCCTCTTCCCGAGAATGCCTTTTGTGTGTCGCAGAAGTCGCTATTGTCTCCCTACAAGATTATAGAAGATTAACCCGTCACTC